ATTAATGTTAAGGCCTAAGAATTAGCAAAAAATTAGGAACTCAAACCCGGTCACCGACCGGGTCTTAAGAGCTAGTCATACATATTACCTGATTCCTAATATACCCCCGTGACTGATTCGGGACAAAATGTTGCTCCGATACTTACGTATCGGGCAGCTAAAGAAGTGTTCCGCAAGAACGGCTTCATGCCATAAATATTTATAGGACAAATAATGGGTTGGCTTGGTAAGATAGCTAGTTCAAATGATAATGAAATTAAAAAGCAATTCTTGGATTCTGATAATGCTATTAAATCTTTGTCGATACCAAAGCATCCAGATGAAAAGTACACTAGTAAAATTATTAACACAAAATTAATTTCAAAGGCAATAAAAAGGATTTATTAGCTAATAATAATTAAAACTATGTCATATTAATTTATTTAAAAATAATGTTTAGATTCGGTTCAACCTGATTCTGCTCAAATTAAGCTTGATATTACTGAAGTTTGAAAACTTTGATATGTATACAAATAATAATCTATTTTATCTTTTTATAATTGTAAACAGTAATTTGGGAAATGACAAAATAATGAAAATATTTTATTAGAATTAAATCAATATTAAAAATCATTATCGGATAAAAGTAAATTTATTAATTATACTACATCACTTTTATTAAGATAGCAAATTTTATTTTTATTATATTTATAAATACATTGTTTAAAGTTAATTATAATTATTTATTTTTTAGACAATGCCATAAGAGAGCTGAATATTAGTGAAGAATAACTCGAAACGTAGTTTTATGTAACTAATTAGCATTATAAATGTAGATTGTCACATGATATTTTATTTATTTGATCGACAAAGTAGTAAATTTATGAGTCATAATAGATATTAAGGTCAGAACTTATCGCTATATTCAGTCAATAGTTAACGATGTTGCGCAGGATACACAGCTTGAAGTTTTAAATTCATGATTTGCCCATTCTATATTTACGTACGTACTTACTAAAATCTCAAACTTTTTAAAATGATAACATTACCAAACGAATGTTTTTTTCGAAATATTTAATAACCTCCAAAATGGATTATATAAGTTTATTTTCATGCCTTGTATATAGAGATGTGAACTGTGAATTATAGTACATATAAGCATTTAGTTTATTTTAAAACTACAGTTTATTTATATAGTAATGGTTTTCGGGTCGCACCTCTACTTGTATAGCCGTTTTGTTGTATAATACATTATTATGGAAAAAGCCAAAATTTTATTCTAAAACACTTATATGAAGAACAAGCGTTATTAATTCCGTTTAAAATAAGGTTCCAAATGGTCAAAAACCATTATTTGAACATATAAGCTATAATGCATCTGTTAGTCATGGTTTGAATAATGGAATAGAAACTTGGCTTCATAATAAAAAACTTTGCCGTTCAATTTATCCTAAGCATTGATGAAATTGATTATAATATGATAGCAAATTATTAGTAGAAGTTTCTTATAGTAATCAATTCAAGAGAATCAAGACAGCAGCTGAGATTTCTTATAATGACACCGCTTTAACTCTCTTAAATCTTTATGACAATGAACTTGATTCTAAAGAAGGAAATGCATTGTTCAAGGCACTTTATATAGATACTTTTCTAGAGCTTAATTACAACATTCTTGGTCCTGAAGGAGGAATAACTTTGGCAAAGGTACTTTGTGTCAATACTACTTTAACTTCCTATTCATTAATAATAATCAACTTGATCCTGAAGGAGGAAAAGCGTTGGCAAAGGCATTTTGTGAAATAATAGTTTAACTTCTTATATATTGATAGTAACACACTTGGTCCTGAAGGAGGAAGTGCATTAGCTAAGGCACTTTGTGTAAATATTAGTTTGACTTATCTGAACCTTTATTATAATCATCTTGGTCTTAAAGGAGGAAAAAGCGTTTACTAAAGCTCTTTGTGTGAATAATTATTCGATCTTCGCAAGAATCAGCTTGGCTCTGAAGGAGAGGAAACAATTGCGGAAGTTCTTTGTGTGAACAATACTTTAACCAATTTAAATCTTTGTAAAAATCAACTTGGCTCTGAAAAAGAAAAGCATTTGCTAAGGCTCTTTGTGTGTGAACAATACTTTAACTTTAGATACTACTGATAATATATTTTTGTTTTAAGGGAAATAACCATTAGTAGGAGCTTTTTGTGTATATCTTTAAATTCTTTAAAAATTCGTGGTAATCAACTTGATTCCGAACAAAAGAAAGCATTAAAAAAGGCTCTTCAGAAAATTATTTATAGATCTATCACAATAAAATTATAAGACTACATATACACATTTCTGGTTGAATACAGAAATATAATACTTTCAAAGCATCTTTGCTGGCAAATAATTGAAAAAAATTTAGAACTTAGATGTTAGTCATCAAGCATTTTCAAAGTTATAGATATGTTGAAAACTTCTGTCATTTTTAGGAAAACCGTGTTTATTAAACCTGAATGATATAAGATATTTTAAAATTTCAATGAAAAAAAATTATATAAGTATACGTAACTAGTATTTGTATGATAGATGGAACTTTGGTTAGACATAAAATTAGTCTTATAACAATTTGATTGTAGTCATTTGACATTAGCCAATAACTTTAGATTATAAATTATTAAGTAAAAAAAAATTTTTATTGATAAACTTCACTTTGTAAGCACGCGGCATTTACTATTTAAGGTATTCAACAATGCCTTTTTTTTAGCTCATAGATAAGTTTATATTTATAATCGACTTAGCCGACTAAATTTGATTTATTGAAAAATTGACTTAATCGATTCTTTGTTATATATATATGTATATATATAAGTGATTTAGGAAAACTAGGTAATTGGACAGCTTTATAATAGTGGGTTGGCGGGAAATTTCGGAATTTTATAATTTTACTAAAGGCAATCGACTTTGCACAGCCGGCTACGCCCGATTTCCAAATCTCGGTTTAAGTCGACAAATTTAGGTCGACAACACTATAAAAAAAGTAATATACACTATCTTTTTTATATTTGCGCCAATTCGTGTAATATTGACATATTATTTATGCAATAGCATCAATAGACATCCTTATTGCTGCCAAATTTTAGCTTAAAAGAAGTCAATAAGATTGGAATAAAATTATCAACAAGATATCAATAGAATAATATCTTATTGATAATATTATTCCAATTGTTGACTACGTATTGATATCTTATTCACCTTTTTTGAAGCCAAAATTTGGTGGAAATAGGGATGTCTATCGGTGTCTAATACATCCCTATTGAACTTAATTTTACTTGTGTCCGGATCCTTTTTTATATTTCTTGTTATGGTTTTTTGGTCTCTTGCAGTATAGGTGAGACTATTATAAGAAGTATTATTAATCAATTGATTTAGAATAGGTATAACCTATATTGCAAGAGATCCGTTTTTTGATTGACAAGAGCAGTCTTTTCCATAAATTTTCGTACAAACTAAACACACTAAACATGTTGAACAAGCATTCGAACGAAATTTAATAACGTTGACATTATCTTTATAATAGTCTGCAAAACAGTCATTATTATCGTTATGATAGTTTTACGTATTATACGGATCATGCCGAAATCATAAACTTAATCGAATCGGCCGAAAGATCATTCTACTCAGGTGTCCCAGAAATTGATAATTACAATAAATATTCATTTCCGATATATATTAGACCGGATTATTCCAATTTGAGATGCTTTCAATACACCAGCTCATGTGTTGAATTAAAGTGTATATACATTGCAGATCCCACCATATATATCTCCGATAACAAAAAATGTATAAAGTTCACACTTCCGGACTTTTTCGTACGTACGCTTATCATGTCAGAATTTGTAATATTTACAGGCTTTGAGGTAAGTAATAATTTTCTTACGAAATGTTTTGCAAATAAAATTAAAATAAAAATAAATAATATAATCTTGTGAAAAACAAAAAAAAATAGCCATTCGGGATACCAAGACCACCGACTAACCCAAGTTGGGAAGCGGTTAAAAAACTTGCTGGAAAAAAGATAGAAGTAAAAGGCCACGATAATAGTATAAAGGAAGTTATATTCGAAACGGAAGAAATTCCAGTTGCATATGAACCAATATTGAATAAAGTTCCCGAATTTCATCAAAATATCGAAAAAAACTACAAATATTATATTCATGTCGGGCATGGACACGACGGCGTGATTAATATCGAAACTCTGGCACACAAAAAAGGATATTATTTAAAAGATAATCTTCTTCAAACACCAGAAGGAGGTGTTTGCCCAGCTTATGATCCAGAAGAAGTAAAAACCAGTTGCGATGTGAAATGTTTGGTGGAATATCTCTGTAATCAAAAAGGATGGGGACAAATTTATCCAAATGATGATGCTGGAAGATACCTTTGTGAATATACGTTTTATGTTTCATTATGTGAAAATATTAAAAAAATCAAATCCTGGAACGGTATTATTTGTTCATGTCCCAAAAGAAGGTCATCCTTATTCAATAGATGAGTTGAGTCAAATTTTGGAGGATATTGGCATATGGATTGCCGAAAATTGTTAATAATAACTGTGTATTACAGAAAGAATAAAAATTTAATTTTTTTATACATCATCAATTATTGTGTTATATTTTTATTTCCTAGAAAATTTTATATGAAAAATAGAATGTCGACATTTTATAATTTTTCTGCTAAAAGAGCAATTAAAGAATGATCAATTGATTAACATTAACTTCGAATAATTGTTGAACTAAGGATATACCTCGCAGATGATATCATCTTCGAGCAAATTGCGTATATGACCACATATCTTGCGCGATGATATTTGGAAATTAGTTATTTATCAAATATGAAAAAATATAAAAATATATTTGAATCAACACCAAAAATCTATAATTTCGCTGAACTCAAAATTTGAGCTTGGATAAGGCCATCACGCATTTCACGCGCGCGAAGTTATATGATTTTTTGAATATAGTTTTACCTCGCACGAGATACATCTCTATATTGAAAACATTTACTGCTTGAATAATTTACCATTCAAGGAAAGTAGAATAATGGTGATAATCTTATCGGTGATTTGAAGTTTATATGTCATTGTTTTTGCTATGGGAATACACATATTGTATCTTGATAGTAATCGAAACGTCTTTGTCATCAATTTTCTAGGTAAATCTATATTGAATTCAACTTATTTTCTATGTTATACAATTAAATTCATCCTTAATATTAGCGTTAGTATATCTTCAGTTATCTCTCTTAATCTTATAATTTCATCATTTAGTACGGATCCTTAAATGTAAAATGTAAGTGTTAAGTATGACGTATTAGAGAGTAGTGTTGGTATAAAGTTGAGGATTTTCATTGGTTTGAAATATTTCAAGCTAGGAGAATGTGGTCATTTATATACATAAATTTCACATACGTGTACAACAATCATGGTTGTGATTTCAAAGATCTCAATAAAATTCTTTTTAAACCGAAAATTATAGAAAACTGAAGAAAGTTACTGAGTCTAGTTAAAGTTTTTCTTATTTCAAGATTTTTTTATACAGGACAGTTTGTTATGAAATTTACAACTGGAACATGTACCAGGAACGGAGTGATGAATATCACGTAGTATATGTTTATAAGGCGATCGAAATGATGTTAGTACGCAAAATCTTAGATCCGATTGGTCCGCGTGACTCTATCTGTCACCTGTTGTTTAATTTGCACATGTCAAGCGTCACATTGTATGATGTTAGAATATGATATTGTATTTTACGTGCGTACATACGTATATGTGCGATTGGAAGTTCAGTTGATGTAAGCTGTTTAATTAAAATATTCTATAAGATTCAGAGTTTGCGAATACGAGTATTTTTAGCTGCCATATGCGTCTATTAACCAATGATTTTGTGTATAATATAATTAAAATAAGTTCCTTTGTCAGATGAAGCATTTCATAATAAAACTAAAAAGTCTCTTATTGAAGGTGCCTTAGATAATTATAAATTATCGATTTATCTGATATGTAAAAGATCAGAAAAGACAAGAAAACTCTAAACTAACAAAGCTATGAACAATGTAATGAACAATGTAATAATATGTACTGCACATTATAGATAGAACTAGTGTTTGACCCATGGCATTGCTACGGAAGTTTATAAATAGTATTATTTAAATATTATATATAAGAATATTTATATAATTAAATTTATTTATTTTATTAAACATTATATTTGATTATATTATTACTATTGTAATATTGCTAATATATTATTATTATTTTAGTATTATTTTAGTTATATAATACTACTATTTTAATTATTTTATATTAATACTTCAGGATAAACAATGTTCAAAGTAGAGCAGTTGGTAGTTTCTTGTGGTAAAAGAATTTTGATTGATCATAGAGATGTACAACAGAACAGAGCAACAGAA